CCGGGCCGGAGGTGTAGCGGCAGGGCCGGAGGTGTAGCGGCAGGGCCGGAGGTGTAGCGGCAGGGCCGGAGGTGTAGCGGCAGGGCCGGAGGTGTAGCGGCAGGGCCGGAGGTGTAGCGGCAGGGCCGGAGGTGTAGCGGCCGGCCGGAGGTGTAGCGGCAGGGCCGGAGGTGTAGTTTAACGGGGGTGTGCTAACAGTTCTCCCAGGACTCGACTCAGCTAACACGGCGACCTGGCAAGCTAATTCAGGGCTCTGTCTGCCTGTAAGATCTGCTCCAATGTCAGACCAATACAGAATTTTAATGCTTTTAAGAATACAGCGTATACAGCAAGGAATTCGACATGACAGAATTCGAAGGTCATATCAAACGCAGTCCGAACCCATGGTCGATCAGTACTTCCAAGAACATAGCTGAAAATTCAATATGGTGGAAGGACGAACAGTCCTGTGAATGACAGTCTCTGCCACATAGAGCACATCTGTAAGCTGACTCAAGTCTGTTGCAGAGTTCATTTTTCCGGGTCCACTTCTCTTTGCAACTGTGCATGTCTAGCTTCTCCTGAATTCAGCTGCCTGGACAGTGTGAACCTCAAGCAGGATCGGCCATAGGCAAAGTCCTTTCAGTGCTCTGTGTCAGTTTTATCTGATATTGTGACGAATAAGGCTGTAACTGTGCAAAACTACCAACATAGTAGTTAAAGTCTAAGGTAAACATGGCCTCACTGTCTGTACAGTAACTCAAAACATTTGAGTGGCCCCCATGAGCCTTGTTTTGCAGTGAACATGAAGTAAATAAAAAAAACGATATGCATCACAATATAGGGGTTTCTTTGCTCCCTACGGGGGCAACAAGATTGGAAAAATTATCATCTTGTCTAGGAGAGATATGTTAGTTCTGTTAATAAAGGAAAAGCCGCAGAGAAAATGATGTTTAACATTTACAATTGTAACACAATTTTATCACGTATTCATATATTCATATCTGTTATCATAATGGTGTTATATCTCCCTTGAGATTAGACATTTTTATCGACATTGATGTCGTCACATTTGAATAATCTTAGATGAACAGTTTCAATATTGCTACTAAAGTAACCAATATGTAATTTATTGTATTTCATTGAAGTTGCAACAGCAGTTTACTGCAGAGAAAAGAGAACCTAGTAGTATCACTATCTCAATGATATTCTGACAAAAAGTCTACATTTTCTGCATGAAAAACTTGAATATTTTGAAACATCAGTAACGATATTTATATTCTGACACAAGCAATGACATTCATATTTTCTGCACGAAGAATGTGAATAAGTTCTGAACCAAGCCACAGAAAGCTTCCTGAAGACTAAGTAAGACATACGTGGCATGTAATTCGTGCCTTCATGTACAATTTGCCGTCGGCGTTCCGGAAATGATTAAAGGTAACTTTGCGTGGGAAGTAATTTGACGGCGCTGGCGAGCTGTCAGAGACCTCTGACATTTTGCCGCGGGAGACCGCGCTTCCATTCCACTCAGCATGAGACATGGGGAAAATCACAGGCTATGTTTTACTTAGGCCATGTTGATGTCATTATGTGGATGACATCCTCTGGGAACCCCAAAACAGATGCGAGCGTGCGAATAAAAAAAAGTTTGGCAAAAAAAAAATAGCAAAAAAAGTTGCCTTCATGAATTCATTATGAAATCTACCTGGTCATGAAGGTTGAACAAATGACTAAACACACCAGAGTATGGTATAATGAATAATAGAATGAATCATTATGAAAAATATGAAATGAATGAAAATAAATGAATAAAAATCATTTCCTCCCCTTCCTCTTCTTTTTTTTTGGAATTGGTTTTGGCATTCTAAGACTTCAGTATCGCTTTCCAATATCTTTGTTGAAATTTATGACATATATATTTGCTACTTTTTCAGCTGCTCTTTTTTACGATTTACAGTATGGTCGAAAACGTTTTCTTTGAAACGGGTGAAAATTCATCCATAAACTAGAGTTCCCCGATCTCATACCTTCGCCAAATGATGTTAATCTTTATGACTGACAAATTATAGATTATTCCCCCCTGATTTAACAAATAGAATCATGAATTATATCATTTTATCATATTCTCAACCAAAAGACAGTCTTATATTAACAAACAATGCCATTCTAGCATTTCCTCATAAATTATGCAAATAAGGTCCTGATTTGAATACATTATGTTTAGTGATGTTCACCTTCACTTAACTTTCAAATACCACAAGTATGAAATTCCAGGCAGTTATCTTATATATATATATATCAGTTATAACATAATTATAAAATTTTCTCATTAATTATGCAAATTAAGTCCTCATTTACATAATTAATATCTGTCTGTGTTTCTCTTATTCTCAATTACCAATGTCACAAGCTTCAATAGTCCAACCATGGAATGAAGCTGATTTATAGAATATCCCCATAAATTATGCAAATTACATCCATATTTGCGTAATTGTCAAATAATTATATCAAGCATCACATAAGCTACCTACATACCAAAAATCACGACGATCCGTCAACCGGTTCTTGAGTTACATTGAGTTGAATATTTTCAAACATATAGTCCTGTAGTTCCAGAGCAAGCCGCTAGGGGGCCCAAACTCACGTCACTTCTTCCCCAGCACAAGAGCTACCTACCATCCAAATTTCGTCACCCTAGCATGTCTAGATCATGAGATATCAAAACCGGAAGTGCAGCTGCAGTACCATAACAAGCCGCTAGGAGGTCCAAAATCTAATCATTTTGAGGTCTCATCAAGACCTACCCACCTACCAAGTATCAAGACAATCCACCAAGGCCTTCTAAAGTTATCGTGTTTACTAGACACACACACACACACACACACACACACATACACGAACGCCTCTGAAAACATAACCTTCTTGGCGAAGGTAAAAATGATATAACCAAAACCAAGGTGGCCTCTGCACCTGTCAAAAGCGATACATATCATATGTAAAGGATTTATAAATGGGTATAGAATGCTGATACAATGATGTTCGGGGATAACGGTGAGACAGAATATGCAATCTGTTACTTTAAAATTAATATTCAGGTAAATAGAAATATCATCTCAGAACCTCTTGAAAGCACTGTGCCTGCAAACCTTTCAAACTGTACAGGCTAATGGAGCCTGTCTTTAAAGTGTCGTATACTTTTAGCGTTGAAAGGATTGGATGGTGCAGAAGATCCTCTGGGAAAGGATCAATAGTAATGGTAGCCGAGAGACGCAACAAATGGATTTTATGTAAGAACAAGTACTGTAGATGTCCCATGGCAGGGCTCAAAATTCATTTTTTGGAATAGGTCGCTGGATCACCCAACCTAAAAAATTGGGTGCACTAAAATATTCTAGGTGCACCATATAAGATAAAATAAGTAAAAAGTTATAATAATTATGTTTCGTTGATGAAGGTTAGACATCCAGGTAATATGATACACCCAAAAGCAGTTACTCAAGCAACTGGATATGGTTTTGGAAACGTCATGACTTTTCCAAAATCATATCCAGTTGCTTGAGTAACTACTGCTTTTGGGCGTATAATTATGTTTCATTTCAAGAAAAGTGCTGTAACAATGATTGTATTATTTTTTTTTATCCTAGGATATTAAGAATGTGCTGTATACTACTATACATTTAACATCTTTACATAGTTACATAAACCTACGAAAATATTTAGGTGCACTGGTGCACCCACGGAAAGAAATTGGGGGCACGGCTCCAAATTCAGGTGCACTAAGGTGCACATGCACCCAGCATTTCGAGCCCTGATGTAAGAACAAATAGATGTCCCATGGAAAAAGTTTTCTTACAGTCAAAAGCATAGCTATAGTTGAAGAGTGGAACCCTTGGGACAACAGAGATACATATATGTACCCTAAGGAGTAGCCATGTTATAATGGTATCTGAGAGGAATATCACATACATCGTAACTCAAGACCGTGTGTGTGTACAAGGGTCATGTTTGTAATAACACTGATGTATAGCAGCAGACAGTCAGTCTGGCTTTTACCACTGGGGACACTCAGTGAATCGTATGGACCAAATGTGATGCAAATATTTTTGACTCATACATACAGTAACATGAACATTACATAGTCGTCGGGGACAAAGAATTAATGTAAAATCGATAGAAATGTGAAAAATCCTTCAAACAGGTAACAAAACAAAGGGTAGATGGCTTAAAATATATTATACACATGGTTACCAGGTGCTATGTATCTGGTTGTACAATATGGAAAAAGAAACAGTTAAAAATGAAATTCACTTGGTACACTGCGTGAAACCAGCAGATCCTCGATGCCACTTGTGAAAAATATTAATTCTATACACATATAATAATATTATACATGTTGAAGAAATGATATACATCTAAGATTGCTAGGGACCCTATCTTAGAGCTCTCACAACTTGTGCTACCTGGTATATTCAAAACTGGATGTGGTGGCCATTTCGATTTTGCAACTTCCATTTACACTTGCTGTCAGAAGTGTGAAACATGCATTCTGTAACGCTAGAAATTTACTGCTATAGCAAAATCTGTCATAGCCTCAATAATAGAATCAGGGCAATGGGAAGTCAGTGGCAAACTCATGATATTTATTTGAGCACAATACATCTGTAAAAGGCAGGCATGACCAAAATAAGATGAAATAACAGAGAGGGCAAAACAAGAAATAATAATCAATACCAACAAAAAACAACTGTACAATAATAACTGTAACAAAAACACTAACAACTAGAATGATTATGACAAAAATTTACAATTACATAATGAAGTATTGCATAAATAACATCTTGATAATATAGATCATGGAGATGATAATATGTCGTATCTAAATGAAAGGACAAACACTGGATGAGTACAAGGAGGTTTTTTAACTCCATGATGAGTAGAACAAAAATAGCAGTGCCTTCAAGCACATTTGTACTGTGCATGAGTGCCACCTGTCGATTTATCACAAAAGTGCAACCCACCTGGTTGATGTCCTGCAGGCTGCACCAGGTGGAGAAGGGCTGCAGGCGGACATCAACATCACACAGCTTCAGCTCCGCCTCCCCAATCTGCAGCCAATCAATGAACAGGTGGAGATATTTGAATTTTTGCTTTGATGATGTCAGTTACTTCCTATAACATTACTATGATCATAATGTTTATCTGCCATTTTGCTCCCGAACAACTAGCCGTTGCAATGTTTAATTTGTGTGGTATTAAAAGAGAAGTGTTTGCAAATAATTCTGACAGTTGATGCCTTGTCTTAAAATTGTCAGATTTTGAACAAAATTATGACTATCAAAGGTAAAAGAGTAGACTGAGGTGTTTTAATTTGTTAATTCAACCATTCCACAGCTAGGGCATGCCAAAAGTCCTATATAGCCTTAGCTCGGGGATGGTTAAAACTCTGATCGCAAAAGGTAGTGCCCAAAATCCCAATTGGAGCAACTGTGAAGTTATTTGCCAGGTTTTTATAGTAAGGCCATACTGATTAAATTTTCTGGATGACATCCTCTGAAGACCCCCAAACTAGTGCGCGTGGGCAAATAAAAACAAAATTCTGGCCAAAAATAAAAATGCTACTAAACCACAGGAATACAAACCTGGTATTGTGAATTTGCCGCAGTACTTAGCGACGTATACGACAAGCCGGCATATGCTGGCTTTTTGCGGAATTTACGAATCGGTACTGTATGTATGTACTGAGCTCTTGAGCCGTGGAGCTTCGAATTCGGTAGCCTCTGTATTGTCGCTAACTACCATGGACTACCCAGGCCTAGAGCCAGGACAGAGCCTCGGTGGACGTGATCTTTTTTTTTTTAGATGTCATCCATAAAATTAAATCGGTGTGGCCTAACTGAGTGTTGCAATTTGGAAATTTATCTTCCTTATTTGGATTATCTACATCATAAATCAAGCTGGATCATAACAGATTTCATAGAGACTATTACTGCATTCCAGCCCAATTGGATTTGCAGAAAGTACACCCTCTCCTTTTCCCAGAGACCCGCTCGGTAACTTTATCACCAGGAACAGGAACCTGATTTGTGGTGAAGTCTGTTGTCTGGAATGCAATTTCTGGCTCCAATACTGGGACCACGGCATAGACAAAACACCAAGGTAACGTCTTTAGAGGGAAGTTAAGTGTCTGTGTCTAGACATAGTAGTTGCTCTTGAATTGACTTCTGATGGTAAGTTATTACAGAGAGTCCTGGGTTTTTGGCGTGTCGAACATGAAATCGTTAAAAGGTAGTGACAAAATACAGTATCTATGGAGCCAAACTGAAAGGACATTCACAGGGAAAAGAAAGCCCACAATCACAACAAAAGGCAGGAAAATTGTATTGGAAACAAAACAACATTTCCACACAATCTTCTACCAGTCTAACTGCTCTAAATACCTTTGGTACGTGCTTGTAGCTTTCCTCGATTTTCAAGTGATTTTCTACTTTAAGTGATTTACTACAGTACTCTTCATGCCTTCAGTAAAGCCATGCAAATCCTAGGGGGTTTTCTTGCAGCTGTCAAATTTACTGTCATCACACGATTTTGATCGTGGGATTTCACAGGCTGTGACAGAATCAACGGCTGATAATGACCTAAAAATACAGCTGAATTTTGTACATTACAAATGCATTGACCATGCCAACTATATTACTCAGTTTGCAATTGCAACTAACTTTCGTATGAAAACTATTGCATGTTGTCATGCATTTTCGTACAATGATCGTATGACAGACCATTGCCAGCCATGTGAAAATCTTGAGATTTTCCCACAGTTGTATCATTTTGTTCGAAGAAGTCACCTTTGGCTATCCCAAGAATGCACTCAGATTGCAATCGTACTGCGATTGTGCGACAAATGTGATCGAACCATCAAGAAGAAAGTGCACGACTCACCGGCCTCTGTCGGGAGAACTTGTCGTAGGCGTACACACAGAACTGCAGGATCCGGGAGTCCAGGTCATCCTCACGCACGTGGAAGATGAACCGCTCGTTAAACACCGGGTTGGGACTCTTACGGTACACCTGGGGGAACGACAGGAGGAGATACAATAATCTTCAGGAAGTCAAGTCCTCCCCTTCCTCAACTCTTCCCTTTTTCTACTCTCCTCCTTCTTCAACTCTCCTTCCTCTTCAACTCTTCCCCAACTCTTCCCCATCCTCAACTCTAATCCCATTATTTCCCATTAAGTCAAGAGGGCCTGCATGGGGGGGGGGGGGTACATGTAATGATTATGCAAAATTTTTGCCGCCGATTACGAATCACGTTAAAGTCTCAGAGCTGATTACGACTTCACACTTTGCAGCTAATGTACTATTACGAATTACGTTGATTTTGGGGCGAGGCTGCCTATGGATCACGAAGACTAAAAAGGCCTGATTATGCCTTACAAAAAAGGACATGCAGGCCCCCATTCAAGCTATAAAAACTAATGGGAAAAATATTACTGTCGTGTTAAGAGAACTTTGACTTGCTATCTGATGTCATGATTCTTTTAAGTGTCAAGAGACTGAGGATCAGTGCTTCCGATGAAGGTCAAAAATTTTATTGAACATTCGGTAACTGGACTCAACATTTAAAAATGTACAATAACGTAGCAAGTTTTTCTTTCTTTTTCATGATTTTCATGTAGCAAGGAAACTATCCCCCCTTTCTAGGCTCGAGCCACATGTAGAAGTGAAGTGTAAAATTACGATAAACACTTAACTGTGGTGCAATCAGCAGCCTTTGTCCTTTTACAACATCTGACAATCATCTTCAAACTCCCTTTTCATCACCCACCAGTTCAACTGATCGCGTAAAGTACCTTTCCAATCATTCCCCCCTCTCCTATCCCTTCCCATCACAGATATTCATTAAGATAATATTCCCCGTAAATCCGTCTCCACTGGAATGCAATATCCTGAGTCGAGAGGGGCGATATCGACCGGAATGTTAAATCAGAGTCACTGCCAGACTCGCCCCAATAACTCACAATCAAACATCTAATATCATTCCACTTGACCGTGCATGAAGGATGGGTATTGATCCGGCTATAACTCCAGAGGAGACGAGGGATAGGGCCTGATTTGCATTCCCTTGTGAAGCCATTTATCATACAGGTTGAGGACAATAAAAAGCAGAACTAAACGATATTGGAACTCACAAATTCCCTACTTTGTTAGACTGCCCAATGATTCAAATACTGCCTGATTGTGCAGCACGAGGACTTTTTAAGATTTCAATTGATGTTAAATGTTTGTATATTTTTATTGTAATGAAAAATTGTGATTTTAAGTACATGTAAAGGAGTGTGTAATTTGGTCTGCAGACTGTGAAATACTTCTTGCTGTTTTACTACAGTAACTACAAATACCGGTAAACCATTTAATTCTTATACATACAAATGTATGCAGAAGGAATCAAGAGAAGGCCAATGGTAAATGGTAAGTGATGGGAAGTAAAGCTATGCGAGATAAAGAAACAATTCAAGTAATATTCAATGGGTCCTGTCCTTGGTGCTGAAAATCTGGCTGCCCCTCTCCACTGCATTTTACTTCTCCAACTGAAGTCAGGTACCCATTGAGGAAATTCTGCTTTTAAATGATTATACTAATTTATAGAGACATTTTATGTATCTATTTCATCTTGGGACGGCTGGGTGCCCCCTTTCAGCCTGCAATAGCTGTTTTCCGATGAGGCCCAGCATATTACAAGACAAGACATTCTTACAAAACAAAGGAGGACAACATATTAACATAAAGCATAAGAGTCAATTGCGTTGGAACGTCTTTTGTTTCTCCCGTACCTTGGACTGAGCGGCAGGCTCGTTGTTGGGGTGCAGGAAGATCTTGACAAAGCTGTCAATAGGCCCTTGGTAGTCCTGTATGGCCAGGTCCTGTGCCTGTATGACGGTGACCAGGAGCTGCTGACGGGCAGCGTCGTACTCCAGCGTGAACTCCAACTGGCCCATGCCTGGGAGCAGCTCCGCCACCAGAGACTCAAACACAGAGCAGTCTGAGCTGATCGTCTCACTGGAGAGGAAACAGTGCAACGTAATTAGTTTATCTAGCCTATTACTCGTTCAGCTGGGAACCAAGAGGTCCAGGGTTTGATCCCCTATGCCTGTGACTGAGCTCAGCCACCAGTGACTCAAACACAGAGAAGTCCACGCTGATCATCTCACTGGGGAGAAAACCATGCAAAGTAATTAGTACATATAGCCTTATAGTCATTCGGCTCGGAACCAAGAGGTCCCGGGTTTGATCCCCTATGCCTGGGAGCAGTTTGGCCACAAGTGACTCAAACACAGAGCAGTCCGAGCTGATCGTCTCACTGGAGAGGAAACCTTGCAACTTAATTAGTTTATATAGCCAGATAGTCATTTGGCTCGGAACCAAAGGTCCCGGTTTCGGGCCCAACATGCTCAAATGTTGTGCCCTTGGGTCGGGGTGGAAATGAGTGCCTAGATTTGGGTAGGGATGTCCCTCAGATAGGACAGCAAATGGAGATCCCGTGTTTGTGATGAATTCACACTCCACACACGTTAAAAAACCCTAACTCTAACCCTAGCCCTAACCCTAGCCATAACCCTAACCCTAACCCTAGCCCTAGCCCTAGCCCTAACCCTAACCCTAACCCTAACCCTAACCCTAGCCCTAACCCTAACCCACCACTGTTTTCGAAAAAGGGTAGGGGCCAACCCACTAATTAGGTTGAGAAATAGAATTGTAGACCGTAAAATGCTTGCACATCTGGTAGGTTTCTAAAAGGTGCTTGTATCGGAGTAACAATTACCCCATCAAAAAAATACATTTAGATAATCACTACAGTGCAGACAAAACACATTACCTGTGATTTCTAGTGAAGACAACTCGGATTTTTCAAACATCCACAACAGGAAATCCAACATGTAACCTTACCACCTTCATGTGTGTGTAGTTAAGTCTTTATGACTGTCTACAAATACCAGCTGTCTACAACACCTGTGGCGTTGCTAAAAATACATAAAACTCAATATCAATTTTCACAGGGTGTTGGGGAAACAAAAGGGCAGGAGGATTGAACTTTTCAAACGGTCCACGCATTAACTTAAACACTCGGCATATTCCAAATTCACTGAAATCATATCCGACAATAGGTAGACACATAATCATGTTATTCCAAAGGTTGTTTTCCAACAACTTGGTGTTGAAGACATATTTCAGATATTTTGGCAATCTTTTGAATGATAGTAAAATAAAGATTTTGCTCATTTTGGTTGAATATATGACAATATATGCTGTGACAATTCATTCATCGTTTAAATGAAATACCAAATAAACCTACCCCTTCCCAAGGTGATGTATATTGATTATGTAATCAAAGGCATTTATGATTTGTTATTATGATGAATTATACCACATCATGTTATGCTAAGCATAGAATTTCTCAAAATTTTAAAAGTGACTCACAGTCAGTCAGCCAATATGCACACATATCACAGTCAGCCTCTAACTGTTAGTACTGTACCTTCCATGAGTTTGCAAAATACAAGGACAATACAACACTGTATTCTAACCGTGTTCCGTTCTGAATACTGCCTGATCGTTAAGGATTTGTGAATGTCGGAAAGCTTCTGTGCGTGCCCGTGAGATTTCATATGAGCTCGTTATCGCAGTCAAAATGTGGTGACGGCGACCTTTTGGAGCTCTTAACCTTTGCGCAAACGTTTTAACGGCTAGGGCATTTCCCAAGGTCTGTTCACTGGTAGAGCTTTTAAACGAAAGGTCACGCCACTTTTCAACATTGAAGAGTCAAACGGCATGAAGATGACATCGATCTTTTTACACCTCACGTTTCGTCGTTCAATACCAGAGGATGCGGGTAAATATCAAACAATATTTTATACTACTACGGCACTTATTTCCAGCTGTGAAAGAAAATAGTGATACTAGTGAATAAAATCCATTATATCTTTTTTTAGTACTTGGGTGGTAAGAAATAAATAATACAATTTTGAAAATCAATACAGAATACAAAAAAATTTTATACATTGCTCACAAAGTTTTGTCTAACAGGGTGTACTGCATATTAACTAACCCTTACCTACATGTAACCCTAGCCCTAGCCCTAGCCCTAGCCCTAGCCCTAGCCCTAGCCCTAGCCCTAGCCCTAGCCCTTAAGCCCTAGCCCTTAAGCCCTAGCCCTAGCCCTCACCCAAGTCAGGACACATCAGTGAAAGTAATAAGATATGCCAAAAAACAGTAACTGTTACTCAAGCAACTAAGTATGACTTCGGAAACAGTCAGATGTTTCCGATAGCATCCACTACCTTTTCTTTTGTCAGTGACATTAAGAGACTGCAGGAGAATTGCAGGCTTATAAGTACAAACTATTGATTGATATGCAAGTAAGTGAAGACAAATTTTTTCCAAAAAGGACTTAGGTAGTGGATGCTACCTGAAACGTCTAGTAACCGTTTCCAAAATCATATCCAGCTGCTTAACTGTTTTAACCCTCTCTTCCAGTGACACCCACTGTAGGTTATCACCTACTTTAGGGATATTGTTTCCCTGCAATGTACCAGCTGCTGCCTGCAGTTGCTATTGACCCAATCACACAGAGGGTCGATTTATAGAAAGGTCGGGTGTCTACAGATTACAAAGAGTTGGTCTGGTCGATACCAATTCATGTGCTGGCATCAGCAGGAATAGGAGGAGGGTGCCAACAGAATGAAGTTTAAGAGGGGACTACGAAATTGCTTCATCAGCTTAGGTAGCGTCGCAACAGGCCTTTATTGGTAAGAGAGTGTCAAGGGTGGTGTGGCAAGGTGCACTACGTGGCAACTTCACCGCACAGAATAATAAAGAACAATGAATAGTGAGTCAGGGGTGTTTTCAATGGCAGAAAAAGGCAGACCTTTCTTGATAGGATCTTTTGTGTGGCATTGCAGGTACTATTAAGTGGCAAGAAGATATGATAGAAAGGACATAAAAATGGTAAGCCAGTACGAAGATGATTATACTGCAGCTGAAAATCATATCATATCTAGGGTAAAGACACTTTTTACCATACTGTAGTGTGATAGAAATGAATTCTAATGGCTTATTACATGCATGTGTAGTTATCGTCTATTGCAAACTTCGTGGGTGGGTGGATGTCGCCTGTGTGTGTAGTAGATCTTGTGTTGGCGTCTAAGTTTTAGCCTGTCGAGCCACAGGTTTTGCATATTTTGATGCTTGAGTTGGGCTCTAATATCTTTGAAACATTACGGTAGCAAGCTATTTCTTCCACACGAGTTACCAAGTTGAACGTAATAGTCCAAAAAACATGAACATTCTTAGCATTACTAAAATTAGATACTTGAAATAAAATTTGGAGATAACAAAACCAGTTTTACTTACATCGAGGCAGATCTTTCAAGCAGAGGACTCTCTCGGTCCCGGGTTGGACTCTCTCGTTCCCGGGTTGGGCTGTCTCGTTCCCGGGTTGGGCTGTCTCTTTCCCGGGTTGGGCTGTCCCGTTCCCTGCAGGGGCTGGCCTGTTCACGCTCCTCTCGCTCCAGTACCTGATTTCAAAGATTTTAATAATTTGTTATAGTACACAAATGTGCATCTTTTAACTAACGCATCGTACTAGTTTTATTATATCTTGTATACTTCGACTGTACATAAATTGTTGTTGTAGTGTGTTTTGTGCAATAACTTTCAATTGATAAATTTGTTCTGTAATTATAACTTTTTTAAATATTTAGTAATAATTGTTTAAGTCTATTCTATGATAATGTATGTATGTACTATCACCATAATTCAGTCTCAGGACTGTAAGCGTGACATTACAAATGTATGTGAGGGAAATGTCAAATAAACCATTCTTATTATTAGAGATACATTGTTACATTATGTATTGCTAGGACAAAATTCACCCAATCTGCAGGTACACAGTACGATACATTCCATGAATTATTGTCATGTCCAACTACATGTACCATATCTGCTTATGTAGGTCAATTTTTGTACACTTTATTCCATAAGCGAGAACATATCATCAATACATGACCATATGGCAACTCAAATACTGTTTAGATAGTCGTTTGTAGTAAGTTAAGTTTTGTAGTATTGTTGTATTACTGCCATCCATTGTACCTTGTACGATTGTTGAGGGGGGGTCCCTACAATGCTCTACGCTGAATTCGGAAACCTCTTGATTACGCTTTAAAGTAAATTCCATGTGGCTACAACGCATTACGTAGAATAAAAATGCCAAATACGCTCTACGCAAAAATATTAGAGCGGTCCGTTTACGCTCTACATAGAATTAAAACGGCCGATTACGCTCTACGGAAAAGGGCTTGCGGGCCCCCATTGTTGAACAATAAAGTTCATTCATTCATATTATTACCTCTTCGGGAGCACTTGCGTACCCCTCTCCTACGTCATCATTATGCGTGCTCTCGTCGCCGGGATCCGAGGTGATGTCATCGCCCTTCACCGATTCGTACTCGGTTTGCTCGGTGTCCTGGCGGGGGAGGGCTCCGGTCGGCTGCTCTTCCACGGGTGACTTGAATTCCTCGATGTATGGCTGCACATACTGCACCGTGGCAGGGTCGAGGGGGAGTGCAGACGCCTCCTGTTTCACCTGGGGAATGAAATGGAGAATAACAGTCAGTAAGAATATTCTTCAATCAGTGACTTCAATCAACAGTTAGAAACACGTACCTCCAAATTTCTGATGTCGACTGTACATCTTGATCACAGAGTGACCTAGACTTGCTAGAACATGAGACTAGGTCGAGACTTGTGCGGATCTTCTGGCCTTTCAACCTCTTCGAAAAATGGAGAAAATTGGTCTTCACTTATTTGCAGATCAATCAATAGTTTGTACTTATAAACCTGATTTTCTGACAACTCTCTAGTGTCACTGATGAAAGGTAGTGGATGCTATCTGAAACGTCTGACCATTTCCAAAATCATATCCAGTAACTTCTTGTTTTGTCACAGTTCTCTGAGGTGCCAGACGTGACTCAGTGTGACACTTAGATTGCAAAGTACATCATGTATATTATAATTGGAATGATGGTGAAGATAACTTGAAAGCAAGTTATCACCAAGTTGCAGTCACAGATCATATCTTATGCAACAATACTAATTTATACTATGCTTAACCCTGGGGCAACTCTTATGCAACAGAAGTAATCATCTACCTCAACGACTACCTAGGCAACCGTTACATAACCTTAGTAATTATCCCATTCACACCGGGTACCTGCGTAGACTCAGACATTGATTCAGAACAAGCAGCATGTACGTGCAAAGTATCACTTACATTCGTCTCAAACACATCATTCACGCTTGAATTGTAGTCATTAATGAATATAGCGGGCTCATCCTGTATATGTGCAGTGCTAATACACTAAAATATTTTATTCTACGTGCACAATTACTATCATTTCACAAGACTGGAGTTGTATGTAATTACTCCATACACTTTCAAAGAAGTTGCTTTATCGTTATTTTTAGCATTGGGCTTTTACCATATTTTATGTCCTTTTCTGCTTGTTAGAAGTGTTCTCCGTGGGATTTCTGTCACCTTTCCATGTCCATTTCAACTGTAAAAACTATATTTTTATTTTACACCCACCTCAGAGTATCATTTTCGTCCCAAGCACACTTCAGTCCATATGGATCCTACATATCTCCCGCCTATACTTAAACTACAGCAATTATACTTTATGACAAAAGCCATCGATTTTGCTTTGTTGCCAAATGTACCCGGAAGTATTGTTTTGGGTGGCTGAGCATGCGTTTGTGTGTATGACTGTCTGGAGAGTACACTAACATCACGTGGGTGGCAGGGGGAGGATCAGGAGATGAAAAGGTCAGACACAGGAAATGGCTCTGGTCCTGAGCCAGCAGGAATTCAGGAAGCGGAGGATTGCACGAGGGACCGTCCTATACTTCCCGGAAGCCTGAAATCTATGGTTTCTTGTTGTCTATGTTTCCGGAGTAAGGTGGGTGCATGGGGGCAATGTGGGTGTGAATTATTGAGATAATGCTTTAAAAATCTAATTTAAATGCTTATTACACGTGTAGCATTTCATGTATACTGAAGTTGCCCTTATAATGCTCTCCATCGCTTTGAGAATTCAATACATTTCAAAATGTTCGTTTTAGAAGTCACACTGTTTTTTTCTTCTTCGAAAGAACATTCTTTAGTTATTAAAGATGATACCTAATATTATAATTTACACGAAGATTATTTTTCTTACACAATGTACAAAATGTAATTTGTGCCACCTGCGCAGGTTTTAACGTCATGTTTTGTGTTGATATCGTCTTGATTTATTTCTTCTCTGATAAAAACATTATCAAGACTGTAAAATAGGTTTAAGTTTCACGTTACATACAGATATTAGCGTTATCAGAACGTAACACGAAGCTTAAACCCATGGAGACGTCACAAATCACATTCTGTAGAACGTGCAAGGAAAACAGCTGGGCATCGATTATCCAGTTTCAGAGGGTCAACGCTCACTTGGAATCAACTCGCCCCTCACATGAAGAATTGATCTCTTTTAAGGCCACACCAATTTAATCTGTTGTTTCTCGGATTTTTTCAGAAAAATACATGAAGCAACAGGGCAAAATAAAAATAAAAACAGGCCAAGGCACCCCATGAAGGCCGGAAATGTTACAATATGAGCCATGAGTTCAAGATACCAGGCTGGTTTATAATCGAAACAATAGACTTTGAACTTTTTAATAATGAAACAAAGTTGCGTTGTTACATTGAAAAACTTTAACAAGTAGGAAGAAAGGGGCTTTCATTGAGAATTTTGATTCAGAACCTAAATTTTTTTTTTTGCAAATCAGAAAAAATGGACAGGGCGAATCCGAGAAACAACAAATTAAATTGGTGTGGCCTTAGAATCAACTCGCCCCATAGATGAAGAATCGATCTTCTTTAACGAGAAAAATCCCCCAGCGACGCTTGAATGAAGAGTATAATTTTACGGCCTTGGGAAAGGAGGAAAAACTGGTCTATAAAGCGGTCTGGACGCAGCTGGTGTCCTACACCCTAGGGGCCGGTTTGACATTGACAGCAAGGTCAAATGTACAAGATGGAGCCGTTCGTTTTTGTCAGCATGTGCGGTGAATGAAGGCCTTAGTAAACCACATACACTGCATGAAATCCGACATATCAGCATACCAAAAAGCTTTGCGTAAAGGTTCTGTTTATTTCAGTCGACTGAAAAACGGAATCTTTCAAATATGTATTGCTGTAAAGGTTTTCTGATATACACACAGAATAAAACATTCGGGAAGGAAATGGTAAGATGTAAAGATAAGAGACAACAGAAGTGTTTATAAGTTCGGTTTGTTGCAAAACCTCATTGGATATTTGAATATGAAATGACTTGCTCTAAGTGTCTAGACAAAGAATAATAATAGACAATCATAACATATGTATCTGCGCTGAAAATAGCATCACACCCACGATTTGAAAAAATGAAATAAAATCATTTTTCACAGCAAGAATGGCGACGAATTTCTGAATATTTCAGTGGTGTAAAATCTCACACATTGACGGTTTATCTTTATCGCTGATCTTTCAGGCTTTTAAGGCATTAGTGGTTGACCTATTTGAAAAAGGCCCTCTGGATAAGCAGATTTCGTATCTTCTGTTCAGGAAGAGGATTAGGGCTTTATCCGATTACGTTTGCGCAAGCTGTTGTTTTTGAAAACAATGCAAGCTTTTGTGTTGAATAACCCTAAACTGCGTCCTAGCTGACTAACCATGTATCCCCATAGTAAACACTTGAAAGATAATAGTCTGTACATGAAAGAGACAGCAGCTGGGCATAACAGAAGCCGGCTCTAACAATCATACATTACGTTTGCCCATGGGCTATCTCATCGATCAGTTACAGGATGTTTTCACATTGATTGAGTCTGTTTCTGTGAAAACAGCGGAATCACAGGATTTGTTATGACGGATTGTAAGAATGGGATTATTTTTTAGTGGAAGGCTACAGAGACATATCCGGGAGCAACATTGCACAATTTAGCCATGAATCATTCATCAGATGTTGTCCAAAACCTAACTTTGATGGGAAGAAAAAGATCGAAATCTCTAGATGTCCTTGTTAGATATACAATGCATATCCAGATTTCATTTATAGAAGGAGCATTTCTGCATTACAATGAGTTTGAAGTCACGTATATTAGCTCTGTAATGCATATAACTGCACAATCATATGAAATTTGGAGACAATAATTGTGTAGGAACATCATGCAAGATATTACGTATGAAAACCCAACCAATATTTTGGACGCAGTGATTTCAAGGAAAATATTTCACATCAATTTATCAAGGATCCAATACAATGCCTGTCATATATATTTGTTTCCACAATACCCTGTCCTCTATATCCCTATTGGGACCAGCAAATTGAATCTATCGCTGTGCCCTTAAGAAATGTAGCCGGAGGTACACCAATACCCTACTATAAAGCATGTACAGGGCTTAGATTTAACGTGCGGAAAGCTATAATAATCACTAATGCTACTCTAGGTACTAAAATACCGTTAAAAAAAGGATAGCTAATTTGAATGCTAACATCAGGACGGTAACACGAAAACACACGTACCTGCACATTGGGAGACGTGTATACCAGAACGTTACCTGGCGTCAGGAATGGGGCACGCTAGATGGGAATACAGGGGCGCAATCAGATCAAACACGTGTTTCTGGGGCCTGAACCGGAGAAGCGGAAATCCGGACTCGACTATGAAGAGAGAGTCATTGGGGACAATAGCCGTGATGTACATCCGCTAACACTAAGAGTGGAACCGGAAATTTGCCAAGCAATCAATGGTAAATGTCAGGGCTAGGCACACTGAAATCATTTGTTTGGATTGTGGCAATTTAAAAAAAAAATTTAAAATATTGTCTTGTGGTTGCCGACACCTGACACGGAAGTCAATTCTTTTTTATTGCTTTCTTTCTGAACTTCCGTGATATATTGCGGAGAAAATAATCATAGCTTTTTTTATGTTGAGGAAAATTCTGTAATTTGCCAGTCATGACTCCTTTGTTAATACTAAATACAAAAGAGTAAAAATAATCTTTTAAGCTGAAACATATTCTAAAGCTCCGTGAATCACTGTGGTAACTACATAATGCTTTATGAGAGTTGTCATTATGGGAAATTTTTTATATTCCACATATACCATTTTTCATAATTTCATAACGGTTATCTGTTAAAAAATTGCAAACTACATTATGTAAAGAAAGATGTTTAAAAAAATGAAAAAAGAGGCATTTGGGGGGGGGGGTGCTGACTGTTGACAGACAAATTATAGTGGCAAGCCCAATGCCACCCCTTGAGAGTCATGACTTGGTCTAGTCCTTGAGGTTCTAATGGCGTATCTGACAGCTCTGTGATTACCAACTCTCCACCTGAATGACAACAGATCAGCATTTTCCATGCATCCCAAACACCCTTTAATCACCCTTGATCCGCAACCTTCGTTTTCTATTCCTCAATATGTCAAAGACAAATGTTCTTCGCGGTAGGTGCCGAGACCTTGAAGCAACATATTCATCTACGTTTCTCATAGATCCTTTGATACAGCGTGGTAATCAGGTTAGAGTCTGTAGGGGAACAACAGTCATCTCAGGGGGCTAACTTCCCCCGGGGCCTCTTTATGTACAATCAATATATAATAACAGGGAAAAGAAATAAAGCATGTTGTCGAAGGCTTGCGTTGAAGGATCATTTTTCTGCGAAATGTCGATCTTGTCGCACTGTTGAACATTATAACGTTGATATTACTAGGTTTTATTGATTTTTGAAAACTCTATCGCCTCGCGTTTGGTTAGAATTGGTGATGCATTACATGGTTCATATATCTGACTCATTGACCACAGCAACTTTCAAACGTAACGGAGAACCTAGTAACCTAAGTCTCGCGTGAGTTCATGGCAAAATTAGTCTCGCGTGACTTCGCAACCTCACGTTCATCTTGCACGACTTTGCGACCTGCTGTTCTTGCCGACAGGACGGCGCCGACTGAAAAGCTTCACGACTTCTGGGGATCTAGAACTTCTGTATCAACCACCTACTCATGATCCGTCCGTGATTTTTCATCTGATTGCAGGATTGGCAAAGAATCAACTCTTAGGAAGGTTTTATTGCTGCTTTGAAATAAAATCTGATGTCCTTTGGCCCTTCTCTCCTAAAATGTGTATGACACACATTGCTATATATATTTTCATGATGCATACGTATTGGATCAAAAAGTATCTCTGAATCAAATTCCTTTTTAGATATAAGTCTAAGGATTTGTGATGAGTCTGATTCTGTCTGACATTTTCAGACCGCTGAGTGGCCTCCTCAACTCTTGTCTCATTAATAATGGAGGGCTGTATGCCACATGAATAGAAAGTCGGGCCAAGTCAGCACAATATTACCCGTCACCAAGGATAGGCACACTGTGACTTGCGTCGGAAAGATAGTACTTCTTATGTCATACCTGTCATACCTGTCATTCCAGGGGTTCTTAACGCGTACGGCCCGGGGCTTCCAAATGTTCCATAGAACAATTCGAACACGTTTCGCCCTAACCGCGTGCACGCCCTAACCACGTGCACCACTTTCGAAAATTCGAATACAAAATTCGGACGCTGCATTTGTGGGGTTTAGGACACCAAAGTTTCGTTCATTTTGCATTAAAAGGCGTGTTTTCTTGGGTGGGTATGACATAAATAAAATACAACACGGTGTATTCTGCATCACCCTTGGTCCCAGCCCTCCTGCGGATCGGATCTCCCTCCGGCCGTTGGGCGATCCGACCTGCGGTCGGGCTGGTACCTCAGGCGATTCGGAATACACCGTGTTGTATTCTATATTATTATATAGCTTGTACTTAGTTTTTCTGGACATCTTGTTCCTCAGAACTCCCCGGCTCTTCCATACTAAGTTTTCAAAGTATCTTTCCAATGATAATAAAATCTAGACTATAAAAGTATTGTACTGTAACAGTAAAATAACACATGGCTCAAAGATGACATATTTGCACAGTAACTGTGAGTTGTACATGTGCCTGTAAATAGCAACATTCCAGCACCAAGGACAAGTTCTGCTTGAATCCAGTCGTTTGACAAAGGAGGTTCGTTTAAATACATGTTGTAGGACCATTTAACCTCCTTGGTTATATGATATATATAGAAACCGACAAACCTACATGTAGGGAGAATACTTATATTCTTATAATAATAAATTGTAACATTTCCTAAAATGTTGTTTGAATTTGACCGAAGCAAATTCTGGTTCTTCCAATCCCCAATCCTATCCAGTATTCATATGAATTGTCAGTTACTAACATTATGATAAAAAGAATTGACCATATTTCATATTGGCTTATGTGATGACGGGTTGTTATTGGCTGACCATGCTTGTTTGCATGAGATGTTTAGGCCATACTGATTTGATTATATGGATGACATCCTCTGGGAAACCCAAAACTGATGCAAATGTGAGAATAAACAAAGTGGGATTCTGAAGCTAGATGATGCCATGGATGTCTTTGTCCTTGGTGCTGAAAATGTAATAACTTAGTACTTACTTACACATCAATCTGGTCTACAATGTTGTGGATAAGTTACGTGTGTGTAACTGTTGAACAAACAACTAAACAGAGTATGGTATGTCGAATAATAGAATAATTTCTTCACATTTTCTTCTTTTCCCTTGGAATACATTTTGGCATAAGTATCGTTTTCCAAAATTTGTCGCTTTGTATGTTTGTATGTTCGTTTTCTGCTTTGTGATTTACAGTATGGTCAAAAACTTGAAGAACCAAAATTCATGGGCGCGCAAATGTCATCCATATAATCAAATCAACATGGCCTCACAGATATAGATTGCAGGTCGGCTTCCCTGATTATGATAAATAAGGCCGAGCCCCACAGGCAATAGCTCGCTGATTGTGAACCAACCGTGCAGGATACAGACGAGGTTGGATATCAGCCAGGGCAGAATGGTCTTTCTACATTGAATTTCAAGCATTCGTGGGCAGTGAAAACTGGTAATTTTGTTTATTACCAATACGGGGAACTGTAGGCAATAGTTTGCTGATTGTGAGCCAACTGTAACAGTGTACGATACAGTCGAGGTTGGTGGTCAGCCAGGGCAGAATGGTCTTTCTACATTCAAACATTGGTGGGTAGTGAAAACTGGTAATTTTGTTTACTACCAATACGGGGAAACGTAGGAAAAGTCAAATGAAACTAGCCATTACTTTTACGATTGCCCTCTTTATGAAACTGGGTTTATTTGGTCATAAATTTGTGACGTCTTTTAGGACAATGAAGGGCCGTGCCAAATAAAATCCGTTGTTTGTTAAGGATAGAAACTTTGGTAAAGATTAGGCTGTCTGGATTTAATTTATCATAATGTTTGAAATAAAAAATTGCAAGCTAAGGCCACACCAATTTAATTTCTTGGTTAACGGATTTTTCTAGAAAAATAATGGAGCGGGCGGGCGAAAAAAAATAAAAATAAAAACAGGTCTAGGCATCCTATTATGGCCCAAAATGGTATTATAGGAGCCATGAAGTCAACACACCAGACTGGTTCAAAATTTAAACAATGGATTTTGGAACTTTTAATGATACCATTGCATTGAAAGATGGAATAACTGTAACAACTAGGAGGAAAAGGACTGTTTTTAACTGTTCAGGGCAAAATATAAGCATTTTGCAGTTGATTCTGAATTTTTATTTTATTTGCAAATCAGAAAAAAATGAAGTGAGCGAATCCGTTAACCAAGAAATTAAATTGGTGTGGCCTAAGAACAGCCGAGGATATGTTCATGTTTGAGAGAAGACAACTATAAATACATGAATGAATCTGTAAATTGTTTTGACTGGAAGAGCCGATGAAAATAATTGACGCTGTGCCAAGGAGACAACGTGCGTGAAAGCGTGCGATCCCACAAGGGCAATACGACTCACAGAGGGTGTTCCCTACTGTACATTCAAATAGAAATAAAGCACAAGTGGGATCAGAACCCCAAATCCGTTCCATGTTTCAAGCGGTCTGATGGTATTCAACTTAAAAGGGGGCAAAGTAAAAGGTCCCTTTAATGTGTCATAGGAGAGTGGGACACCCACGTTAACGGATTGTCACATCTCTAAACCTACCGCACAGCTGGAATACAACATCGGGAAGACTATGTGGATGACCTGGTGACTTCACTAACCCAGTGATTTCGTCCTCCCAGGGTCAAAAATGTAAATGAAAATGTTAATAAAATTAAGGCTGTCATTGGTTGAGAATACGATCAAATGATATAACTCATGCAAATGAAATTTTATTTGCATAATCAATGAGAGACATCTACGTATGTACAAGTCATCAGGCGTAAAGGTTAACGTCATTTAGTAAAGGTATGTAATCGTGGAACTGTTGTTTTCTTATATATTTCAGTGGACAATCCAACATTCTCCAAAGATGTCTAAAATATATCAGCGCCCTCTTTCTATGAGTAAGTGAAATACACACATACAGTATAGACCTACAAATTGTACATGTAGGCAGACAGCAATGCACGCATGCACGCACGCACACACACACACACACACAAGCACACCTGCACTTATACACACACATACATGCGCCCACACACACACACGCACACACACACACGCGCGCGCGCGCG